TGATACGATTGCAAATAATTGTATAAGCAGAGATATTCAATATGCTATGAAATTAATAAATGAAAAAAAAATCACCAGAGTTTTAGTGAAATTTTGTCAGAAACCAAAGGAATATAAACATGAAATTAAAATATTGACATATACTCATTAATTTGTCGGCTAAGAAAAATGCTCATGTGAATGTCCAAATAGATACCATGAAATTTCCATAACATTTATTTATTTATTGAAGTTTAAATGATTAATTGACTAGAGGTCTGAATCATGGTGTGAAACCAAGGGAAAGAACAACACAAGGCAAAGACTCGGTCCTCATAATTGAAATGGACATGTTAATAAAATATTATTCGTTTGGGTGTTTCTATTAATTCAAAAGTCTTTTTTAACTGGTAAGAAAAAATCTATCTATTAAATATTAATTAAGGGAGAATGACAGATCTTTTGAAAAAATCTTTGAGTGATTTGAAAAATGTTTGTCTACTAATTAAGAGAAAATGATAAATCTTATTACCAATTACAAAGTCTTCAAATTACTTGGTCAAAATGGAAATTTTTCTTAAAAAGTTCAAAATCTATTAAGAACAGAAAATCTTAAAAGAAAATTTTTTCCATCAAGAAACTCCGACACCAAGAGATAGAAAATTCAGTGATTTGTTTCTTGATCTGTAAAGAGGAGTCATCTCTATTTCTATTTAGTGGGAATAATATGTGGCTTTCTATAACAATCAATCTATCAATTTCTCGATTTTCTAAACAAATATCAACAAAAATTTTAAAACTTTTTACTAAACAACGAAGTAAAGTAGATGAAATATAATTATCTAATGGCATAAAAATATTGAATTTTGAAAACAATATGATTGTAATGGCCTCGGAGTAAAAACAATATCTGGTTTCTTTACTAAAGAGAAGGTCCCCATGTAGGAAAAAAGATTAAATATATCTTGTTTAATTACAGTCTTTTCAATTATATTTAGTGAAGATCCAAGACGTGGTTCTAGGCTTCTCTTAGAGTAATACACCCACCATGCCCGTGAATGTCACAAATATACTTGGGCACTTTAGGACAAGAGATTGCAAAGTCCCAATAGCAAGTTAATCCGAATGCATGAGTCACGGTGATGGATTTGGTAAGATCAGTTAAACATAATTTGACGATATTAAGAAATAATAAATTTTTTTTTATTATGTTATCCAATTTTGTTCGATTTATTGTATCAAAGATGTGAGAAGAGTCGTGTGTCTGTATAGCAAAATTTACAATCAAGATCCCACTTATTTTAATTAAATGACCATTAATTTTTAATTTTTTAATTTTTTTACTTCCTGTGACATAACATATCCAGAATCAAATTGGATTTACCACTTCCTCTCCAAATTTTTCGATCGTGGTTTTATATTAGCAGTTCTTGGCGGCCTTTTGCATTTAGGGTTTTAATTATATTAGTAAATTTCCATTTAATTCGAAGCTCACTACCTAAACTTGAAAATTACTTTATCCTTTTGTGATAGCTAGATCTATTTGGTTGATTTTATACTTACGTTCATTTTGTATCTATCATAATTAAGCTTCTTTGTTCGTTAATTAATAAAGTAAATTTTAATTATTTTGAAAATTAATCAAACATGTTTGAGTTTAATCATTAACATGGCTATGAAAAAGGCAATTAATTTCATCGAATGCTTTTTTTGATTTATAGTTTTTAAAATAGAGAACATGCATAGTCTCAAAACAAAGAATAATAAACTTAAAATTGTTTTACACAATCAAATTAAATAAAAGGATTAAACCGATTTTCATTTGAATGTAAATTACTAATTATGAATTAAACTACCATTATAGAATTTGAAGGGGAATAGAAAGGTAAATTACTCTTCTAAAAAAAATAATAATAATAATAAATGGTAATAAGATTTGACCTGGTACTATGAAATTGCCTATTCATTTCTTCTTAATGCAACCTTGGCGTATTAGCTGACTTTGGGTCTTCTTAATTAGAAACTTTAACTAAAAAATTATTTAAGTGGGGTCATATGATTGGCTCGAAAAGACCCTTTGTAGTCAATATATATCTTCTCATTGGTTAAGGCTACGTCTTTCCAAAATTAAAAATGCATACATTCATACCGGAGATTGTTTAATTAGATCGGACGTCTAATTAGAGCTTGTTTGGTATAAATTTTGATAATTAATTTTTTGATCGATGGAAAGAAATGGTAAAAAATGACAGCCTGAATAGTGAAATAACGGTAAGAAAATTGATTTTTTAGGGTGGAAAATCAATGCTAAACATCCCTTCAATATAAGAGATTAAAGATTAGTTTGTATTACTGGTAATGCAATTTATTTACACACCTCTTATCGCTCACTTGGTTAGAGCTTGAGTTTACAAAGTGCAAGTCTTGGGTTCAAGCTCTTTACCAACAAATTCATTGTGTAATATTTTAATTCTGCAATTTCTGCCAAAATTCAATGTGGAGGGAGACCGAACAGGATTCAAACTTGTGACCTTCTATTAGAGGCATTATAATCTTAACCGTTTAGGCATCCCCTAAGAGCTGACAATAAGTTTATCAAAATAATATTTGTTAGATTTTATCAATTTTAACAAAAGTATATTTGTTTGAATTTGTACTCTTTCTTTAAATTATACAAAGCTTGGCAATAATGTTATTTGATGAGTTCGATTTATTCTTATAACAGAATTATATATATTCAATTTGAACAAAATAATTATTAATATTTAAACTTTAGGCCTTGTTTGATTCCCTTTTTTTTAAAAATGCACTTTTCTCTTTTTTTTTCAACCACATTTTTCAATAAAATAATATTACACGTAGATTCAAAACTTTTTTTTAATTATTTTAGCCACACATTCTCCATCAAACAACTATTTCAAAATGTATTTTTTTTAAACAAAAAATAGTATTAAACGAGCTCTTAATATCTTATTACGGTCGACGGTAGACGGTCAATGACCGTCCGTGCTGACTCAAACTCTTGGATTC